GTACTTAACAACAACAAACAACAACAACAGTGTGGCACTGTAGAACCAGCACTGGATGGCAAACCAAAAGGTCAGTGGTTCAAGCCCACCAGTTGCTTCTTGAAAACCCTATAACGTGTCACTATGAGTCGGAACTGACTCAACAGCACTTGACAACAATAACAATGTTATTACAGATCATATATTAAAATGTTAAGTAATACAAAAGGAGTGACGATTTGTATATCACTCTAATCAACAAAATATGATGCATAATCACAATGCCCACAAATGTAGTTTGGTCCTGTGTTCCCAACCTTTCATTGAAAATCCCGACATCACAGAAAGTAACTTCTAACCCTTCAGAAGTGATTAGCAGTGGTGGGGCTCTCTGCTTGATGATGTCTCATGCACTGTCATAGTATCCACTTCTCCATATGGTTCTCATTTCAGTAAACTGAAACCTCAGCTCTCCCTAAAAGACAATCTCAATATTCTTGAAGAGAATATTCGAAGGCTGCTGCCCCTTCCACCTCTGGAAAAGCTAAAAAATGAGGGCCAGACCGACAAAGACAAGGAGCACATTAAAGTAGGTGGGATGAGACCTGAGCTATACCATAAACGGCAGTGGGACTTGACCTTTTCACAGCAGTTTGTGCCTCACACACTCATGCTTGTTTTTAGTTTCTTTATGAACGATCCATGGATGCACTGGGCAAGCTTCTGAAGACCATGATATGGGATAATGTGACTGAGGAGGAATGCCAAGAAATGTTTAATGTGAGAAAGGCTCCCATAGTCCCTACTCTATCTTCCATCATGCCCCCCAAACTTGACCTCATCCTCTTACTGAGACATGTTCAACTTGACCCTCTTAACCCAACATAGAGGAACAATCTACTTAAACATTGTTTGTGAGGCAGTGAGTACCATGTAAAGAAAAGAAAGAGTGAGAGTGTGTGAGACAGAATGAAACCAAATAAAGAATACCAAGAAAAGGTTGTTGATTCTTTGACCAACAGCTTCTCCGAATGTGGCTTGTTTCACAAAGAGAGTGGGAAAGAGAAAGAGCCTTTCAGATCATGGCAACGGTGCTGACAAATGATGTTCAGGTAAGTAACTCCCTAAAATGAGGAAATTCCATCTCAGGAAGCTGACTATCTGAGGCCTCTGGAAAGTCCAAACTCCTTCTACAAGACAAGTGTTTAGTCCCTGAATGAACTACTTTTTAGAGGACCCCCAAGAGGTGTCTTCTAACTCAAGTTGAGCACGCACACCAGAAATAAGTCATTTGATTGTTTTTACAGTCTGGCTTGTTTACTTTTACATTGCCATGAAGGAGTCAGACCTTTTTAGAGGAAATCTCAAGATTTATTTTCATTCCAAGGTACCTGCAAAGAGAAAATAAGAGGTTTAATATCTGGTGTTGGGAATATCCTGGGATAGCATCAGGTCACCACCTCACATTGGGTGCCCCCTTTGTCCTGCAGGCTCCGGAGAACTTTAAAATCGGCTCTCTTCTTGGGCTTCTGGCTCCACACTCCTGTGACACCCTGCCCACCATCCGCCAGGCAGCTGCTAGCTCAGCAATTGGTCTGTTCTGCATTAAAGGTGAAAGAATGATGGAAAAGCCAGAAATTAATGGAAGATATCAATTTTAGGATTTTGTTCTCAGTTTATTAGTTTAGTCCTTGTGTATCTATGTCTCTGTATATATATTCCTCTCTCACTCTCTCCGTCTCTTTTTCCCCCAGTAGAGCAGTTTTTGAGTTCTAATGCTCCAGTATGTCATGAATTCCTGCATAGTGCAAATGGTTAAGAATTCAATTGCTAGCCAAAAGGCTGACAGTTCAAACCCACCCAGAGAAGACTTTGATTTTGTTTTTTGTTTTTTTTAATAAAGATAATCACACTGAAGCATTGTATAGATCCATTTTTTATGTTGTTAAGGGCTCTAGAGTCGATTCAGACTCATAATGACCCCCTATAGGGTTTCCAAGGAGCAGCTGGTGGGTTTCAACTGACAACCTTGTTCAGTCTAGTACAGATCCTGCAGCACCACACCAGAAGTCCATTCGAGTAGAGAAAATGTTTGTTGTAGTTGTTGTTGTTAAGTGCCCGCAAGTAAGTTTCAATTCATAGTGACCCTGAACAGGGTTTCCAAATAGCAGTTAGTGAGTGTGAACCACCAACCTTGTGGTTCAAACTGACTTGGCTATCGAGTGTTTATTTACAGCACCACACTGAGTCTCCAATTTAAGTTGCTGAGCAATTGAGCATATTAGCAACACTTTCTCTATCACATGATTTTCTTCTGTAGAAAATTGCTCTAGTATTATGGTGCAAAATGACTTTCAAAGTTCTCAAAAGGAAGTAACTTTGTATAGTCCTGGTATGGCACTATACGATAAACACTGGTCTGGTACCCACAAAATGAGTGGTTCAAACCCACCAGCCACTCTTAGGAAAACCTATACAGGGTCACTGTGAGTTGGAACTGACTTGACAGCACTCAACAAGAAGTGACTTTCAAAATTCTCAAAAGGAAGTGACTTTGTGGAGAAGTGTTTCCAGCTTGAGTTATAGCTCCTCTGTCAGCTCTCCAACAAGTACACGTGGTTAACTGTTAATATCCACAAATACAAAAAATTTTAGAGTCTCAGTCTTACACTGAAATCAACAAATATGGTTTCCTGTCTCAGTTAAATCAGCTGGTCTTTCTTTCACCAAGGACAGACTGACATTGCGCATGTGCAATTCTTTGTAGACCAGGAAGGTCAGTCTAAATTCACTGCCATCTCATGCTCAGATTCCTCTCTTCATTCTTTTAGGTCCTCAGAAATTATTTATTGAGTACTTTTCTATATGTCTGGCACCTACCTGACTCTGGGGACATAAAAATATTAAAATAGTAGGATTCATAAAAGAAATTATTAAAGGCAAAGAGTAAGATTTGTTTGGGGATACCTAAGACAGGATAAGCACTGGACTGCTAACCACAAGGTAAGCTGTGCAAACCAACAGCTGCTCCTCAGAAACTCTATACAGAGTTGACTCAATGACACTTAGCAACAATCCAACAGTTGTGATGAAGTTGATTCCAATTGATCACAACCGCATGTGTGTTAGAGTAGAACAGTGCTGCATAGGATTTTCGGTGATATTTTGGAAGTAAATTACAGGATCTTTCTTCTAAGCCATCTCTGTGAGGACTCGAACCTCCAGACTTTCAGGTAGCAGCTAAGCACATGAACTGCTTGCACTACCCAGCAACTCCTTTGGTGGAGCAATCAATCCAAAAAATGTGACAGAGTCAGGGTAGGTGTGAACAGTTTTGGGGAGTTGCGGAGATAATCCAATGCTCCTTACCAAGCCAGAAAAAGTGAATGAAAGAAATACGGATGAAGACGCCATTCCAGTTAGGAAATAAGATGTGCCACAGAGATACCTTGCAGGAATAAAAGAAATTTCACTTCTATCACTGTTCTACCCATTCTTCCTTTAGTCTGCTTTTTGTCCCTGAAACTTGGACAAATTCAGTTCTTCAAACAAGAAGTTCTATCCTTCGTTATTTAAAATTTTCCATTATTAAACCAATTGTTGTTGTTAAGTGCCATTGAGTCTGTTTTGACACGTAGGAACCCTGTATAGGATTTCCGAGAAGCTGGTGAGCTTGAACTGCCAACCTTGCAGATCAAACTGACTTTTCACTCCAGCGCATTAACCCACAGAACCACACCAGGACTCCATTAAACCAACAGCTTGGTGAATCAAAGAAGACATGTGTTGACACTATACTGTTTAGTGCCGTCAAGTCAATTCTGACTCATAGTGACCCCGTATAGGGTTTTTGAAGAATAGCTGGTGGCCTTGAACTACTGACCTTGTGGTTCACAGTCCAGTGCCTCTACAGATTCACATGAGGGGGTCCATATACTAGGTACCAAGTAATTACCAATATACTAAATTAAATGCCTGTTAAGTACTCATGGTAGTGACCTAATCAGTTTTGAGAGAAGGGGTCTGAGAATACAAAGTTCACCAGTTACTTAAAGATGGAAAATTAGTGGTGCTGGGCTTTGAGCCTGCCTCCAAAATCCACATGTGTTCCATTGAGCAAGGCTGCCTCCCACAAAGTGGTTCAAGTGTTGGTTTCCACAATATTATAAAGCCAGTCAACAAACAGAAAGTTGCTGCTATTTAGATTTATAGACTGATACTAAAATCAGTTGTTGATGGAAAACTTTCTTACAAAAGTTACTTTTCTATTTCCCCAAAAGTAGCTCTTTATAAAATGGAGTTCCAACAGAGACAGAAGGATAGCAGAGTAGTTAGAGCCTGAGCTTGGATATCAGACAAACCAGAGGTCAAATTCTGACACTTCCATTTTTATCTTTTTGCATGACAACTAACAAATAACTTTACCTCTCTCAGTCTCAGCTTTCTCATCTGCAAAACAGAACCAGTGACAGGGACAGGAGTGTACCTCAGATGATTTTTATGAGTAATAAATGAGATCATTCTATGCAGAGCAGTAAACATCTTGCCAGGCATGTAGAAACATGTAGTACATTACACATTTGAAACAGCATCTCATTAGACAAACTTTGGTGTCTTTGTTAAAGGTAGCAAGTAGCACATCAAAGTACAGCCAGCCTCATCAGCCTCCACTGGGTGTTTGAACTCATATATTTCCTCTTCATTGATTTTAGGCATAAACTTGGAAATAGAACGACTTCAAGGTATGCAGGAAGGGCTGGAAAGTGATGACTTGCAGGTCCAAACCAAGATTTCTACTAAAATAGCCAAGGTAACTGATGTGGAAGACTGGTTAAGGGGTTTAGAGATGATTCTGTGTTGATTTGCAAATAAGGAAGCTATGCCCATTACAGACTAGAACATTTGTCTAACTATTTGAGCAAAAGAAAGATCTTTTATCCACTAATTTTTTTTAATTCTGTCAATACAGTTAATGATCATTCCATACTCTGGGAAACTTTGTGGGTCAAATGGCTTTGAGTGGAAAAGAAGAAACAAAGGTGTTGGAATCAATAAGAGGCATCCAAGCGGGCACTGCTAGAAACTTACCTCTCAGAGTTGTAAAACTTGGTCTATCAATTTACTCACTTATTTAATCATTCATTCATTCACCTAATATCTAGTTAGCACTTACATGCTAGGCTCAATTCTAAGCTCTAAGGATATAAGGAGTGTTGGTGTGGTGCTGTGGGTTACTGTGCCAGGCTGC